TATTGGAAAAGCATTTGTGTCTGTATATATGTGTAATAAGAGATGAATGAGAACATGTATTTGTATGAATGTGCTAGAAATCAGTGTACTATATCCCCCTGAAGACCTTTTGCATAACCCTGTCTGCCTCTGAATAAATCTTTTCCTGTTGGGTAGCTTGTGCCAAAAGCACATAGATAAGGAATTCAGGGTACAATCCACAGCCTGCCAAATTCCAGGGCAAAACTCAAAAAAAAACCATGTTAAATCTGCTGGCTATGCATTTTTCAGTTACTGGATGAAATGGTTACAAGTTTCAGTAGTGTTCAAAGATGACATAACTGCAGTCTAGCTATGCCCTGGAATCAGTGTTGCAGAGCAGAACATTTTTCAATCCTTCATTTTTCCTTGGAAAATGTTCTGTTTCATAAGTTCATTAGCAGAAAAAGAATGTATGCCGTTTGCAAATACAATACTAGGCAAGCTTTATTTTTTTCACTTTCCCATCCAGCCTCTCAAAAGTTCAATATCAGGCAAGCTTGATGGTTTGAAAGTTGTAATTAATGTTTTTTCAGATAATTATCTCTGCAATGCATCTATGTCATTGAAATATGCATATATCTCTGAGTGAAAAGGAATTAATTAGATAGACACAATGGAACTAAAGGTACTCCAACAGCCTTAGTGAAAAGGTTGAACTCTGCTAGACTGGATTAGTGATTGTCAGTGTATCACACACAGTTCCTTGGGTTGCTAAAATTAATAAATTTGTCTATAGTTTTCCATACTTTTGTTTTTTTTTCTTTCAGTTTAAACCATTTAGAAAGGGAATCCATTGAAGCTGCATAGAAACTCCTCTAGAGTAGGGAAAGAGCAGAGAGGTGGAAGGTGCCTTCATGCTTCTGCTGCCCTGAAAAAACTTAGGCAGCCCATTTCAAGTGCCCAAGTGTTTTGCTCCAGAGGGAAGGAATGGAGGACAAGGCTCTGCCAGGATCCTGTGTGCAGCACCTGTCCCTCCTCTCCCTGCTCGCAAATGTTTTGTCTGGCATTTTTCTGGGGTAATTTTAAACATTGTGAGTACTTTAATAACAATGAGCAAAATGCAATGTTGCGTGAACAAACTTCTGTACAGTGGGACTTCTTCTCAGCTCGCCTCCACTCTGCACCCTCCAAATCTGCAGCACCCAGGGCAGCCCAACCCTCCAGAACGGATTTAGGGATGCTGCTGAAAACGGGGAAGCCCTCCTCTTTGTTCTGATGATGGAAGCCACGCCATCCGTACAAGGGGTTCACTGGATGTCAGCAAGGTCAGTGCAGCTTGCCATGGGGTAACATTAAGCCTCACAGTGAGTCTTGTGTCGCTGTCCCTCCACATTAGCAGAAGAATTCCTTCCAAATCACGAGAAGTAGTAGTTCCTCTATACTCCTCACTAGTCAGACCTCACCCGGAATACTGTGTCCAGTTCTGGGCACCAAGATTTAAGAAAGATGCAGGTAAATTAGAAAGGGTCCAGTGGAGGGCAACAAATATGATCCAGGGTTTGGAAACTCTGCCCTATGAGGAGAGACTGAGAGAACTGGGCATGTTCAGCCTTGAGAAGAGAAGATTGAGGGAGGACATGACATCCCTCAAAAGGCTGTCACAAAGAGGAAGGTCAAGGTCTCTTTTTGCTATTGCCAGAGTGTAGGACACGGAATAATCAATTCAAGTAGCAACAACCCAGATTCAGGCTGGACATCAGGAAAAGCTTCCTCACTGTCAGAGCAATACGAGAGTGGAACCAGCTGCCTGGAGAGGTGGTGGGCTCTCCCACACTGGAGACATTCAAAAAGAACCTGGACAGCCATCTGAGTGGGATGGTGTAACTTGGTGTCCTGCAACGGCAGGGGGTTGGACCTGATGGCCTTCATGGCCCCTTCCAGGTCTACTATTCTATGATTCTACGGTTTATCTCTGGAGCGTTACAATGGAAGAACTGTGTGTGCATGTTGGTGTCGGCAACCTTCCCCTTGCCAGTTGTCTTTCCCCAGTTTTGCAGCTGTGGACAGGTGATGTAGAGGAGGCCAGATGCCAAGCCTACGAAGCTCCTTGCGTGTCTTTCAGGCAGACTGCGGGGTCCCTAGCTGCATTTGGTGGGGCTGGGTTTTTTTAAGTCAGGAAAAAATGGTGTGCGAGTGAATGTCAAACGTCGCTTTCCCCTGAATTCCTGAGTGATGTTTTCAGCATACATACATTGCCTGATTTTTTAAAAACATATTCTCTGTGTTTGTATACATAGGGGCTGTGCAGTATTTTCTTTCATCCTACGAAATCAAGAATGTACATGGACTACAGCTGACATCCTAACCATTCTGTAGGTACTTCTGTACACCCAAGCTCTGGGATCACGTTTTTCACACAGCAGCCCACCAGGTCACATGGACAAGCCCTTTTGCAGTTCAAAGGAAAGAAAAAGTTTAAAAATCCCACTGGGATGTGCTTCAAACAACCCTTTGGAACCAGTCCGTTGCCTGCTGTCCATTGCTGCATTCAGTGAACTGTGCTTTCCCCCAGCATCCAATAGGTTAATCAATTCTGTCAGTTCTGACAGCAACAGCCAATGTATTAGGCAGCAGGGAGAGAAAAATGTGCCCATATTGGAGAGGATCTCACTGGCCACACGTGATCTTCCAGCAGGCGCGTCTTCCTCTCTTGCAAAGAGGTGGCTGGTGATGTCAGAACTCACAGCACCGATAATCTGTGGAGCCGCACAATGAAAGGGTCAACCCACATGGCAGTAGCTGCACAGACCTGAGACACACGCACTAAGCTAGCAGGGCTGATTCGGAAAAAGCAAAAACTCCAGGCAGAATCAGGGCTATGGTGTCAATGAAGACAGTCCCTCAGTAGAAGAGAGGGTGTACATGGCTGATAGAATTAGGGTAGACATATCCCCTTCGGTCGTTCACTGCTTGAAGGCATCCTCTATTTGAAGGCCTGTCCTGTCCAGGTCCCGTTTCAAGATAAAAAACCCCATTAAGAAAGCAGAGCTGGAGCTGTGACGTTGCCCATCAGTGCTCAGCATCTGGCAGTGGCCTAAACACAGGTCAGCTGCTCCCAGGCTTCCTCACTAGGACATGGCATTTTAGCAGCATTATAACAATGATTTCTAAAGTAGCATATGCCAACCTGTGCTCTCTTCAGTCCTCTTTTTTTGGCAATGGCTGCGTGGCTGCCGTAGTTGTAATGCCTGTATGTTACTATAAGTACTGAATTCCCCGCTGGCTCATGGGAAAGGTGCAAGGCAATATCCTATCATGATCCATTCCAATGAATGTATTGCGTGCACAGAGAAAAACTAGTTGAGGATTTACTTCATGATATCTCGAGTGAAGATCTGGTCATGACTCCTCCCAAAATCTTTTAGACTGCCTTCCCCAGGCAGACATGTTCGGACTGCAACACCCAGAATTCCCAGTCAATGGCCCTGATGGATGGGAATTCTGGAAGTTGCAGTCCAAATGCCTCTGAAGGCCACCAGGTTGGGGGAGGCTGTCTTTGAAGGTTCTGCTGTCCAGGAAAAGGGATTCAAACAGATTTGATTGCAAGTCCTTTAGGGAAAGTACTATGAGGTTGCTGTAGATGCTGGTTTATTTGAGAAAGATTTGAGCTAACATTAAATACCGCACAAGCAGAATTCCCCCTCTTCTTCCCCCACCTGCATCCTTCTGCTCCTTTCCCAATCTGCTCTGGGAGGTCCTCTAGTCTCAAACAGATTTCCAAGGGTTGCAGGGGAATGGGGAACTGCCTCCTCTCTGACCCACTGATGGAAACAAATTCCACCAGTGGGATGTGTTCATTGGAGACCGCCCAATCTTTCTTCTCTTTTGTAATATGTATCCAGGCCGTATTAAGGCTTGATTCTGTGGCTGTGGTATGTGTTGGTTTAGAAAATATTTTGGGTATTTTTAACAGCCCTATTGGTGTTCCTGTTTTCTTATTACAAGTTGTCAGTGTGTCTGTCAAATTGTGATTGGTGCTGGTTTTGCATCCTATTAGTGTAAGCGCCTCTGGGAATGGCATGTGGGGAGGTAGTGAACGGAATTCATTTGCCGCCCTCTCCTTTTTGTTGGCTCTGTGTTCAGGTCATGGGCCTTTCAACTGTCAAGGGGAAAAAACCTAATGACGCTCAAATCTGCAGAATATACTTCTATAATTCCAGTGGGCAGCCCTTTATAATAGAAAATACACTTGGGCTCTTTAAAAAAGCAAAACACTTCAAAAAACTATTGTTTTTTAAACTATAATAGCCAGGCTGTGGGCTGTGGACTTTCTTATCTTCCTTCCCCAATAATTACATACATCATTCAGTTAGCATTTTGTTTATTTAATCATATTGCATCTTTCCCCTTAAGTACTGCATATTTTTCTTTAATCCCCTGTAGGAATTCCTACAGATTTTGAATACTGCCTTTACAAATATAATAAAACGGTACTGTTGATGATTGCTTATTAAAAGCAGATATTTCAAATTCTGAAAGCTGATTTATAACTTTTCATACCTTTGCAATTGTAATACACGTAAAAATTGTTTTCGCAATATAATCTGATATTTCTTTGGCACGTGCTGATATTTCTGTTCATCTTTTTACGTGGTTGTTATCATCATCAGTGGCTTTTAAGGCCTTATGTTTCAATTGGCATGAAGAAATGAAGAAAAACTTTTCTGTTTTTAAGACTTGCGGGGCAGGGGAATATATTGTAATTTCTAGCAGTCTACTCAAAAGTAAGCCCAACTGAGTTCAGTACACGTGGATAAGTGGACAGACTGCCGGAGAGAGGCAGTATTGAATCAGGAGCTGGAAGAACGCCCCTCAAAAGGTACTTCTGTACTTTCAGAGAGAGATTCCTGACAGGTGAGCTGTTCATACAAGCTCCTTGTCCTGCTTCAGATGCTGCACTGGGAATGTGGGGAGGGGAGAGGCTGGTGTAGAAACGGGGCTGAGCGAGTTCCGGATGGGTACATAGACGGTAACATTCACAGGGGCCCCTTCGGAATTCTGCTTTATAACCTGAAAGGATTTTATTCTCTTTGCACTACCAGCAAACTCTGCATTTTGAAACTGATCTTCAGTGTGCATTGAGAGAACAACATCAAGAAAGCTACAGTAAAACTACTCAGCTCTGCACATTCAAATTCATTTCAATGAGCATGAAGTTCCTTTAAAAACAACAAAAAGGGTAGGTTCTCCAGATTGAACCATAAACTTGCAGTTTATGTGCAAGAGCTTCCCCTCCAGGGACCCTCAAATTGCCCACCCCTCCTTTCAAGGTTGGCTTCTATTTCAGAAGCTTGATGGGAATAGATTATACAATGTTTAGGGGTCATTTGCCTTGAGCAGACAGTTGTGAGACTGGAGAAGAGAGATGTAACTCAATAGCCTTTTTGCCTGATATAAATAAACCATTAGGAATAGACGGCAGTTGGTAACTCAGATGTCAAAGTGGTAAAAACAAACCAAACACAACATATTGAAAACTCCCCCTCCTGGGAAGACAATATCCCATTGTCTAATTATAAGATTTCCATTTCTTCTCTACTCAGATGAAAAACAAAAGCAAGTAAACAAAGTATTTACATCTATAACAAGTCCTAACATCTGAGATGCTTCTTGCTTGACATATCATTCCAAATCCTGTGCATTTCCTCGGGTGATATCTGATGTACCGTGATAACACGCCGATACCTGCACAGGCTGTATGCCATCTTCCAGTGATTAAAGCCACTGTTTTGGAAAGGGTGGATGCCAAGCTTCCGCAGACACAGTCCCACGTACACGTCTTCAAGATGAAGAAGTCTAGTGTGGAGGGAGGTTTTATAAATCATCTCTGCTACATCGGCTGAAAAAACGTAGCCCGTGCCTGAGCAAAATGGCGGATAGTTGCTATCGGGGTACAAGTCCCTCGGCATGTACCATTTGCTACGGACATCCCTTATCGGGCCCCCGTTGATGACATAGCCAGTGAAGTATCTTCGTCTTGGCTTGGTGTTGGGTTTCAGCAACTTGTAAATAAGGTTGTCCATATTTACAAAGATGTCACTGTCCGTTTTCATGATGTACTTGGCTTTGGAGCAAAAGGTAGCCACCCACCTCATCCCCATTAATGTTTTCAGGGTCAGGTTGTGATAGGAGTCAATGAAATCCTCCACAATAATGTCATGGAAAATTTGACTTTCTTGTTCTACCATCTGGTTCAACACCGGGTCTGTGTTTTTACCCAGTAGGAAGAGAGTGCAAATCTTAATGCCTTTGAAGTTATTCTCATCCCCCCACGTCTCGCGAATGGCTTGTCTGGCATCGAATTCTTTGTGTGTTGTGCTGATGAGAATGACCAAAAAGGGCGCATTCTTCTCACACTTCTCTGGCTCATTTATGAGGAAATCGAACAAATGAGGATTTATTGGTCGAGTCCTTATATTGCCAAAAGAGACATTTTTTCTAGCCATTGAGATGCTGTCATAAGTTTTATGGACTGTGTAGGATGAAGTGGGACGTGTTATACTTAAGTACCAAAGAGCACTCGCCCAACAAACAACCGTCAGGACATACAAACATGAGACTTTGGAAGCCATTGTTCCTGGAGCTCTTCTATTTAGCAGAATGAATAAATAGCCCTCTTACCATTACTGTTTCACGGTCCTGCAGAAACAGCATGTTATTTTTCAAACCTTAAAGTTCAGCATAGAAACCTGGTACTCATTCATGGAGCTAAGTGAAGAGGGTTTAAGCCTGAATTGAATTCCTTCTCCTGTACGGTAGCAGTCTCCATTTCCTGAAGCGATATGTTATTTCTGAAAAACATGAGCAGACAATTATTTTTATTGATGCTGCTATTTTATTTTGATGTTAGGATAACTTAACTGCAAATATTATATGACATGCTAAATTATGACAAGTAAAGATGCGACTGTGTTGTGAAGAATGAAGTTGATGGTAATTGCATATTAGTAGGTTTGGACATGATTCATAGGAAGAAGCAAAGCCATTCACAAGGAGAGGAAGAGTGGTTTTCTCAGGCACTGTAATCTATGCAACATTGGCTCACAAGTCATGACGAGTCTAGGCTATGGTAGATACATGCTGTCCTTCTTTGTCAGAGATCTTCAACTAGATTTATTTATTAATTTCATTTGAAATATTCACTGAAAGCTGTTCGGGGCAGGTGCCTTCCCAAGGTAGTGTACAATATTAAATGCTTATAATAAAATTAATAAGAAATGCAAATGCAATAATAATGCAATACTGAAAGCAGCAAAAGTTCCTTAAAACAAAAATATCACCTTAAGGCAGAACCTACAACACAATTGCAACTATAGCCTAGTCTGTAAAATATAATGAGGGAAGGGTAAACAGTGCATCTTCAAGGTCTGCAGTGATGGGGCTCGTTGATGTGGGGTCATTGTCCCAAAGACTCTCTCTTTTAAATTCGTCCACCTAACTGTTCCCAGAGGTGGCGAAATGAGAAGATCCAGGTTATCTCCTTCCAGCAATTTCATGTAAAGGCTAAAAGGTATGGTACTTTGCAGCACTCCACAGGCAAATGGTCACAGCCATCTGACCACTAGCACAACCTTCTTGCCACTCCTTCAGAGAAGACTGGAACCACTGTTCTTCAGAAGCCCAAGTAGATTGGTTCAGAAGGAGACCATAGGTCAAAGATATCAAAAACCAACATGGTTGCACTTCCTCCCATCCAGAACCATAGGATTGAAATTTGGTTTCTTCAACAAGGACCTCACTACTGCTTGTTTCAAGCCTGGGGGAACCTCACTTGCCGTTAGGGAGTCATTGAGCACCTTGGAGGTCCAGGTACCCAGTCCAAATTTAGCAGATTTCACAAGCAAGGAGAGACAAGGACTAGGCCCGAGTCCTCCAAGCAGTTGATTCACATGCTCATGATGCATAATCCAGAGGGAAACCGTATCATGACTGGATCACACACTATCCCCATCCATCTCAAACACTGTTGGAACAATGGCATCTAAATCACCACAAATATGGGTAACCTGGTCTGCTAAATGTTTAACTTATTCCTCACAGTGGGCCTCTGCAGGTTTGAATTGTTCTCTTCTAGAGGCTACACCCAGCACTGAGCTGAGTTCTGCTAGTCTACCATTAGAAAATGACCTGGTGACAGGATATTAAGGTTTGCTGTCTTTGTCAACATCACTACCACAGAATAAGATCACAACTAGATCCTTACCTGTGTTTGATCATATTGATTAGAAGTTATTTGGGCTCCAAACAGTCATTTCATCACTCTCAGGTCCCGAGAACAGTTCTGAGTATATTTGGGAGTGATCATGTCAAAAGCTTGGATGATCTCCTCATTCCAAGCAGTGATCATAACCTTGGCAGGGCTGCTGGCTAAATCTGCAGGAAAAACTCCAAGACACCCCAGAAATCTAACTGAATTCACCAGCTTCAGGAGAGAGACCATCAAAATTTCTCCCTTTCCCATGCAAAGGTAGCCTGAAGGTCACCACTGGCTTGCCTGCACAGATAATTGTCTCCAGTTGGAGCACAGAAAACCAGTTCCAACCTTATGCCCTGCCACATGTGACCCATAAGATGGCTCTGTGGTTGACATGGCATGGTGCAAGAAAAGACTCGGGGTGATGCCCCTGTCCCACAATCCCCCATGGGTGTTTCTAATGAGGCTGATCTGTTGGTGTGGGGTGCTGGTACGGGTGGATGCTGGACATTCCCAGTCAGTCCCAGTCCTCCAGTGGAGCATCCTGACACTCCAGGAAAAGAGCCTTCTCTGGGTCAAAGGCACTGCTGGCTCACTGCACGCCTTAAAGAGAAAACGGGATCTCTGCCTTCGCTTAGTGCTCCATAATGGGCATCGCTGTTCGCGGCTGGGATGCAGTGGCCACATCCCCGTGACTAAACTCAGAGGAGCCCTGCATGCTGCTGATTGGGGTCCCGCCTCACCGTGTGACTGAGCCCACAGTGGATATTTGCTTTAGTTATGAAGTGGAGAAGAGACGGAGCAATGCAGAAGCACTGCATGTGTGCCCTGATATCTTATTTTTATTTCAGCTGTTGCTGCTGAGCTGATTTTTCATTTTACTGTAGCAGTTGATTTTCTTTTGTGTTTTGGAGATGAGAGAGAGAGCGAGGAAATGGGAAAGAAGTGTGCGTGTGATCTCTTTGTGCGAGCCTGAGAACAAGGAGCACCTGAGAGCAGTCCTGCAGGGACTAAATGGGTTTTTTAATGGCGAGGGGGGCAGTGCCAGAAGCTGGGGGGGGGGGGGCTGCTCGCCATGAGATGCTATACTGAGGTTGTGCATTTGCCTTAAAGAACACCACGTCTGGCTCTCTCTGTGCATTGTGCGGGGAGTGGTGGTTACTCAGTTTGATAAAAATGCTTATTAAATTGGCCTGGTCAGGTGGAGGGAAAAATGAATTATATTGCCATCATGCCTTGCAAGACAACTAGATGTATAGAAGTTAACTGACTGCTGTGGATGGTTTGCAGAGTGAGTAATCTCCTCATTAATCACAGATGTGACTTGTTGAAAGTAAGGCTTTTGGCCTGCAGAGGAGATCCTATGGTATTTTTTAACCATGCAAGTCCTATGCTGCGACTTGAAAATAAGCTTAGTGCAGTTCCGTGTGGGGCTGGGACTGCAGTGTGGTCACCTATTCGGACTGCATTGGCTCCCTCCACTGAATTGTGGTGGCCCAGAGTGCTCGTGGGGCACTTGCTAGGAATTGAGCCCCATGTGTTGCACAAGCAATGCCTACTTTGCACGCCAGAACGGTTGCTCAAACAGCAGGTGCTCCTGGCACCGAAGAAGGCTGGTCGCAGGAGCTCGGTTGTGGGGCATCCACCAGAAAAACTGCACGCCGACTGCTGTGCAAGCAGCATCTCTCTTCTGCACCAGCTGCAGCTGACTTTGGGGCTCTGCTGATGCGGATGTTTGCAGGTTGCACAACTGGGGCTCGATGAGCATTTGCAGACTTTCTCTACGCTTAGCAATCTTTGGAAGACTGGGCCAAGCACAAGAGGAAGTCCATGAATGCATGGAGGACAGATTCTGGCAGGGCGGACAGATTCTGGCAGGGTGCATCCCATCCCTAACCAAAAGTATCAATTAATCTCATAAGGATAGCTCCATTGCACGAATGGGTCCTCTCTGGCTTTGCTGCCTTCTCATTCTTGATCTTCTCAGTGAGGCACAATCCTATGGCTTCCCAACGCTTGGCGTCTGAAGGCCAAGAAAGGACTGTGCCAGCTCCCGCACCCCAAGAGCAGAACAGGGCCTTGGGGTGCAGTGGGGGCTGTGGCGTCGCACTGATTCCAGCCAAGGCCCCAGCCGCCTTCCCTCCCCACCCCGGTGCTAAATCGCAATGGCTGAAAATGGCCCTCTAAACAAACGCAAGGGCATGGGTGCAGCGGCAGCAGGGGTCAGGGTGACCGTACCTCATCCCGTGCTGTACGCTTTTGGGTTGGGAGGCTTCTGGGCATGGCCAGGAGGGTCAAGAGGGCTGCATCCTTCATATCCTCTGCCTTCAAAGTCTCTACATGTAGGAATGCTCCTGCAAATCCAATTGTGGAAGGACCTTTTCTTAAAATAAGTTGCAACTCCATGCTCATCGTTTTCCTATCTATTTTACATCGTTCAGAACAAAATGTCTGAAACTATAAAATTACATTGCTTGGAGTTACATAGAAATTGTTACTGTTATCTTTAATCAATGGAATATAATTCGGAGGTTTTCGGCCAAACTGCCAGAATCTTGCCAGGGCTTCTCACCTTTCCCAATACCTTCTATGCAGGCAAGTCAATGCAAATTCTACTTTATGGTAACATGATTAATTACATTCATGTTTAGCATGCCATAGTCTTTGACAGAGTTCCAGGGAGGGGCGAGCTACAAATTGACTTAATAAGGACTGCAGTGTTTGTCCAGATTTGGTTCTTTCATTGCTCTGATTCCCTCCCACTCAATAATGCAGGGTGCAGTTGAACCCTTGCTAAAATATGCCTTACATTCAGAAGCCATTGCATTTTAAAATGATTATAATTAAGGAGTGAACCATTCAAGTGTTAAAAGTCCTAATGTTAGGCTGTTTCATGCACCGAAGCAAGGTTCATTCTGAGACAGCAGTTGTGTCACCCTGACGGGCCGTCATTCTTTGAAAGAGAGGCGACAAGACCCAAATATAATCTAATCCAAAATATTTTTGGTGCACAGATGAAAGAGCTATAATCCCTTTCCACAGGATGCAGAATGTGCCTTTCTTTAATTAATCATAACTACAATATGTAAGTCTCCAGTGAGAGGGGATGCATGGATTTTGTTAAATCCGTTCTATCTGCATTTCAAGGATTTCAGGTCCTTTCATTCTACTGTCTGCTAAATGCAAGTATCAGATTCTTCTTCTAATTTCCCAATCTCGTGTTTGTTTGTACTTTGCAAATAACCACTTCCAAAATGTGCAAATTCCACCAAGATGCATATTTTCAGCCTCCATAGTGTTAATTAGCACTAAAAATGGACACAGTTTGCTTGCAACCCAGGAAAACATGCCTGAGTTGTATTGGCATTAAAAACACCTAGGCGTGGTGGGGCAGCGGGGGCTGTGTGACCGGGTTGGGGTCTCATACAGCAAGGGGGCCACCGTTCGCCACTCTAATCCAAA